CTCGCAAAAGTACGAGATCCACGTTGGAATTCCAGCGGGGAATTCCAACGTGGACCAGTTTGGTTTAACCTCCATTTTCTTCCTTCTTTTTTCTGCACAGTCTCTGTTTACTTCGCGAACAGTAAGCATCGATTTACAACTTGTGATTTCGAAATATATTTGCTACATTTTTCCTTTTGGAGCTCTTACTGAGGAGCTCCCTGCCGTGTTCCCCGGCGGTGTTCGTGTTTCATTTTTTCGTCATTCATTTTATCCTTTCACATTTTTCCGACCTAATTTGCATTCTTTGTGGCCTGTGCGCCACAGATGGAACAGATCACAATGTGATGATAAGAAAAAAGCTAATCATATACAGCTGTACTATTATAAGCAATCTCTTTAGATTTGTATAGTAGTTTGTAAACATCCCTGCTTGAGCATAAGCATTCAATAGTATCCATTTTATCCATGACGAGTCAGTTGAATAAATTGATATTTATTATCATTCTCATACTATTATATTTCATGAACTTTGAAGAAAGAGCTTCTGTATTGAACAAGTGAAAGATGAAGAAAAACCATCACCTTCAAACATAGCATGAAACAAGGACACAAATAGTCATGTAGCCCATCACAAGGAATGCCAACATGAAAGCTAAACTTCTGGCTGCAGCAGGCAAAGGAAACAATGCATAAACCATAGTGTGCATGTATCTGCACACTGCAAACACCTCAAACAGAGTCTTTGCCAAATCCACACTAGGTCCTGTCATCATGTAAAGCCATGCAATGACCATGAAGAAAGGTATGTTTTCCAAGTCATTTCTATGGGCTCTGAAAATAATATGAAAATGAAGTTTGAAGCTTCTTTTTTCATGCCCCATCTGCATGTGATCATCAAAGAGTCTCACCTCCTGATTCTTTCCACAACTTCATCATTATGTGTGACTTTGGCATCTTGGATCCATGGAAGAATGTCCTCTGGGTTTGCAAATGCCTGGAAAACATGTGGGTGAGCATAATAACTCCCATTGACAATTTGATTTTGAGTTTAAAATGCTTATTTACCCCTCTCCTGATCCTGGTAACAGCAGTCCAAGGTACATAGAACATCATCTTCAGAACCAGAAATGCAATGATCAAGGCATAATGTTTGAATATTTCACCATGGAAATCAATCTCCACAAAGGCCATTTTTTTAGTTGTAATGTGTATCTCTCTCTCTCTTACTTGCTTCAAAATTCAGCAAGGATTCAAATCATATCTGACGTAAAAAGAAAATTGTCAGTCCGTAGCCTGAACTATGAAAGTCATGATGAGTTTGCAATTTATACCTGGAATACAGCAGAGGACGTTTTTTTTGACAGCGTAATGTCATTGCTGTCTGCACTTTTTGAAAGCCAGGCAGAACCATGAAGAATTGAAATTGAATGTTTTTTTTTAATAATGAGTAGGTTCTGAATGAGAAAAAACTGGCCAGAACAATTTCATGAGACACTTGATGAACTTTGTCTTTTGCCCATAATGGTATTTCATTGGACACATCAAGCTAAAATGCACTTTATGAAAAAACAAATTTGAAAGGTGGTTCTCACGGTCTTCAAAAAATATGAAAGTAATGAAAACAAGTCATTTTTGTTGCCCAAAGCAAGGTTGGAAATGAATCCAAGTTATTGTGTGAGAGAAAGTTTAGTTGAGGGTCTTCATTAGGCAAAATAGGCCACTGCTTTTATTTTTCAAGAAATAAATCCTCAAAAATGAACTCTGTTTCATTTTGGATGACAATATTTTTGATAAAGGATGATAATTTTAATTTTTACACATACTGATTCATGAAAAAAGGAAATCAGGGACTCTTTTGCATTGATTGAATCGCTTTGAGGCCTTCTTTGGACTCTTATTGCATTGAGTGAAAAAGCAGAGCTGTTTCATGAAGTTTTTTTTAGTTTTATATCACACGCCTTTACATGCGGGCATTATACCTACATTTTTAGAAGAAGCTTTCATTTCATTCATAAAATCTCCAATTGAAGAATGTGACATGATGCATAGCAATTTTTCTCAACAGTGTGTGTCCAGAAATAGCATGTTCAAAATCATCTTGAGTTTTCAAGTGTTTCTCTGGAATTAGAAACCATAATTTATTTTAGAAAATATTTTTTATATGCTGTACAATGCAAAAGGGAAACATTACAATTGAACTTGAGAACTAATAACTCATCAAATAATGGAGGAAGACATACTGTCCTCAAAAAAAGCAGAGTGGGGCTATGATTTGCAGCCCAGCTCATATAGTATTGCATATAAAGAAGTGAACAGTTCCTCATTTAATCTATTTGTATTTCCATTTATGAAATGAAACTAAATTTCCCTCCATGAGAGATTATGGGGAAACCATTTTTGGTCAAGAAAATTTTTTTTTCAAATGCTCTAGTAATATTCTGTCTTATTTGACCCAGGTTGAAGTGAATTAAGATGCTTGGATATGCATGGAAAATTAGATTAAATATTGCAACATAATTGACACTCATTGCATCACATTCCTCATGACCATTTGAAAGCATAAAAATTTGATGAGGAAGGTCAAAGCAACAAGGCATTATGCCAGAAAATATATTATCTTTACGGACAACATGGGGATCTGCTCTGTCTGGGTGCTTTCATTATAACTCATCAGTGTCATTGCTGGTTCAAAAGAAAATATTTATGTTTTCATCTTCTGACTTTCAGGAGGTCCATCTCAGAAGATGCAGACATGTCCAGCAAGACAGCATTGATCAGGAGAGTGCTAATGGTTATTCTTCTCTGGAGCCACTCAAGCATGTCATAGCATGAATGACATTCATTTTGTGCAGAAGACTTTATCTGCTCTCCACCATTTTGTTATCCAATCAATTTGCCCCAGCACTCAGGCATGGCTTGTCAAAGTTTCCCTTCATGCTGTTCAAGAAGTAATATCTCCTAGTTTTCTCAGCCCCAGCTTGTTTATGTATCTGCTGGAATTCACACCTCAAATGTTACAGAATCAATATAATCAATCAAAGGAAATTCCAATGAGAAAATAAAATTCTGGTTTGAAACTGGAAAGTTTCCAAGGGATTAAAAATATCTAGCAAATTTCAAATAGTGCTGAAGCTTCCTTTATCATGCATATCTCATTTTTTAAAGAGTGAATGAGATGAATTGAAAACGGTGACTGCATGACTCAGCAAAGAAAATTATTTAAAATTCATGGAACACTCTCTCTCTGGAGAAAACCAGGGGGTGATGGGGGTGTCTTAAAGAAGAGTGACCTGTTCACAAAAAGTTGGGTAGCCAATTTCTCAGGAAGTTTCACCTTCCAAATTGCCACATTTTCAGGTTGCCAGAATGTTAAACGTTACTCCTATACATGCATCACTTGGTGTGATGAAGCATGATTCTGTGCCAGGAGGGCAATCAATCCCAAAAGTTCCTCAAGTGCACCCTGGGAGACCAACTTCCTTTACCCCAAGGATCTCTGGCTAAAATGACGCAGGGACTTGAGAATAGAAGCAGGAGAACCAAAGAACTGGGGAAACAAGAGGGGAAAAAGTAGAAGCACTTATCCCATGGCCTAATTTGACATGGGGTTCTTTTCAAAATAGCTTCAAATTCATCCATATCAGCAGAGAACTCAGCAAGTCAGCTGTTTTCATCTCATTACTGATGAGACAATTCAGTCATGTGAGACACAATTTTTTGTTTTTTCTCTTTTTCCAAGTGTCATTCAAAGTATATTTGGAGTACTGTAATTCATAGAGAAGATTTCTGATTTTACAATCTTTGGAAAGCATTTGAATTAAACCCTCAGAAGCAGTCTCAAGGAAATACATGGATCAGCATTAATTGCTAATCACATTTCAAAAGTTTTTTTTTCAATGTCATCAAGCAATCATAACCAAAAATAATCCTCCTCATAAATTTCAAAATAGTTATTCCCCATTTGTCAAAAAAAAAATTTGGAAAAGGCATAAAATTTTTTCGAATTTAATGTATTCAAAACTGAATCTTGTGAAGCAACCACCTGTGAAAGTATTTCAGTTTCCTGACTGGAATTTATAATTTCTGACAATAAAGAAACGTTCTACCTGAACTAGCATGAAAAAAAGTATATGCGGCCATACACTTGGAATGTTGACCTTTGAAAGACGCCTACCTTGTCTTGGAAAATTTGTAAGCTTGAAAATTTTGGAAATTCTTATATTTTTTTGAAAAATAAGCCAGCACACATATGGTTCTTATTCTCATTGTGCCAATAATATGTGGTGTTTCAGTGATCGCAGAATTGTTGTATATACTGTATCTTCCTAAAGGTCATAATTTCCATATAAAAGCCAGTCCATTGTATTTTCATGAATATATAAAAAGGTTGTGGCAATAAACGTGGATTCTGAAGAATTGAAAACATGCATGTCAATTCAGTATTACTGCAATGGTATGCACTGGATTGTGATGTTTTTTAATGTATATTTTATAAATATTGAATTTTTTTTGGTAGGACAGAATGTGTTGAATGAATGTGTGGTTGGGAGGGAGGTTTAAATATACTGTGAAGTTAGTCATCACAATTAAATATTGTTCAGTAGAGGCAATCTGAGTTTTTAAAAAAATTGTTTGGATTATGGGGATGATCCATGGAGGTCCAGGGGTGGGAAGGCTGAATGGTTGCTTTGTGTCACAAGGATCTCCTTCTCAGTGCTCTTGTTGCATGGCATGTGCTGCAGGGGTGTGATTACTCCAGGGGTTATAGTGGCTGCTGCCTGTAGAGCTCAAAGTCAGTTCCTCCAGGGGCCTGTCCCAGGGATCAACGCATCAGCAGAGCTGCATGTTCCTTCAGCTCAACACTTCTGTGATTTCCACCAGGGCTTCCTCTGATGTGTTCCATGTCATAACTTCTCTCCCACCCAGAATGTTTCCTCAGATCTTTGCTTTTTTAATAATGCTGCCCTTGAAAAATGTTTTTAAAATATTGCATCATGACTGCATTAAAAAAGCTCTGACTTCAAGATCCTTTCCTCTGATTTTTTTTTATTTGAGTTTTTGATGGCATGATTGTTGGTGAAATGTGAAAGTGGGTGTGTCATCAGATATTTATAGGTACATTTACATACAATTGAAAATATTCTAAGGAACCTGATTTCAAGTTTTCTTTGTTGTTGAAAATTTGCAGACATGAAGGCAGGTTGCCAGGAGGAAAATGCCTTAAACAACCTTTCTATATGCATTGCTTTCTAAAGCCTTGTTTACATGCTCCAATGGAGGGGAGAAAAGTGATTGTCTGGAGGTTCCTGGAGCTGGTTTTCTGCTCCCTGTTTCTCATCAATAAGGCTGGAGGCGAGTTGTATTTTAAATTTGTAAATCTCGGGTTTTATTTATATTTTGCCTTGGCCATGCTTGAATGAAAAGATTCAATACTTGCATAGACCTATTTATGGTTTGCTTTAAAAAAAATTCCATAGTTTGGGTCATTTAGTGAAGGTTCCTGTACAAATGAGGAGAGCAATGACTGCAATAAAGTTCTTTTATTGTTTGAGTCAAGATTTATTTTTCAGGCTCTTCCTATAATGAGTGAAAGTTCAATTTTATCACAGCACTGCCAAACTTTTTATTTGAACTCAGCATTCTCAATCTATGAAAACTTATTTTTCATGAATGGAATTCTTGTATCATAAATTTCTTGAAAAGTCATTATTTCCTATGTACATTTAATTTAAAGGCCAGCAGTGGAGTAAAATCACAAGGTTATTTGAGTCTTAGAGTATATTGCATTTTTCAACTGTTTTTTTTTTAGGTTCAAATAGCCTCTTTTTATGATATTCTTTAGTGAATGAGTGGCATTTTTGAAAACAATATGTTTTCAAGTGATAATGGTAATGATAGTACTGCTTGATTTCTTTTGGAAAAGGGGATTACACTTGCTACAGCTGTTCCTGGTCCAGTCCTGGAATTTCCACAGAAGCTGAAGCTAATGCAGCAGCTGCTGCTGCCGTTGGAGACTCTTGCAGACCAGAATTTTTCAATCCCAGCAGAGTGAGGACTGAAGTGTGTTCTTATGGATGCAAGACATCAGTCATGTATGAGAAGGGTATGGTTCATACTTTGTTTTTCTTCTCCTTATCAACTAAGATCCCAACTGTATTTTTGTAAGTTACTGAGTCCCACTCATACCAAATTTCAAGAATAGCTTGAGTTATCTTCAGTTCAAAATATATTATTCATATACCTATAAACATGTTCA